TAGAATGATAAGATTTGGGTTATCCTCCATCCATCAGTGAGAGAGACTTTGCTAAAACAGCCCTTTTGCTTTTATCAGTCAGTAGTCAAGTCAATTGACTTCAGGGGAATTTTTTCACCCTGGTGCAGTGCTTGCTTGTCAAGGCAGGCAGGCCTTGTGCGGCCTAGGCAGTCCAATTGTAACCTGAAAGTTGCTCAGGATATTTTCATATTACGGTTATACAAAAAAGGGAGGTCATAACATAAGCTAGCAGTGGAAAGTCCGATTTTTCAGAGCTTTTCCTGATCTACCCGGAATCTGTCAGACAATAGTCGTTGCATAGCTTGTGTCACCCAGGTTACCTAGTATACCTGTCTGAACCTAGGTTTGGCCCACTGTAGACATTGTGTTGTGTTGGTGTTATGAACATTCCACTCTTTACTGGGTTGGGGAGGGACACCCTCCTTGTCTGTGACTTCTCCAATCAGAATGATAAATAGACTTGTGTTCTTGGAACATCCAGTTCCTAACTGACTGCCTATGCCTATTTCTTATCTTTCTCCTTCAATAACCTCTATTGTAAAGGAGGTGAGAATATGTACAGATCTGAGATAGCAAGTTGAGTCAGTTTATTTGGAGTTAAATATTGCTTTAAATTCTATTTTTATATTTGTGAAATTTTAGCTTTATCATGATTCATACTATTTACTTCCTAATGAATACATAGCCATACTTTTAAACACTGCAACAATAAGAATGAAAAAATTATCCAGAATTGGAGTCCGCATGGATTTTGTTTCCTAGGAGAAGTTCTGGAGAGGCGATGCCCTTAGATAATTAAAGTCAAGGGACTTAAGTTCTCAGCGGGGGTAAAAGATTTAAGGGACATGTTACCAGGACCATAGATTGGTATCTGGAAATGTGGGTCCTCTTTTCCCTGTTATTAAGGATGGCTGAATTTTTCTAAAAAAGAAAATAAAATATTCATGGTAGCTCAGAGTCAGAGAGTAAATTTCATTGTCTAGAGTACAGAGATCAAGAAATTATTTGATGAATTTAAGTCTTCATCACAACCTGTGAGTATCACAATTAATATAAGTTCTTCTTTTTTGAAAATATGCTATCTCATATGCTGACCTTAAATGCCTTTGGTAAGAAAACAAAATCAGATAATATGTTATACAGTTTGTGGGGCACTTCATATAATATTATTCAATTGTAAACTCATGTATTAAAATTATTGTTTATTTTTATAAATTCACCATATTATGGGCAACTTTTCACAACATTCTGGGAATGCCATTGGTCCCTCTCACATCCTGGGCTCTCTTTCTCTTTCATGCTAAAGATCTGGAAGAAAAGAAAAGGAGAACCATGCTTCTTAAAAATTACATTATTGTTGGGCCCTCCCTGGTGGTGCAATGGGTTAGGATGCAGCAGAGCAATCTGTCTGAAACTGCTTCAGTGAAAATTCGATCCCCCACCCCAGAGGTGACCACATGGCATGGCAGACCTCTCCTGCCTGCCCACTGCTCCCCTCAGCAGTGTACTTTGTTGATCTGCCTGTTCTTCTCCCCACTCTGTCTCTAGTGAAGCCTCTCACAGCCCCTACACATATGGCTTGTTCCCAGCTCTGTATGGATAAATAAATAAATAAATAAATAAATAAATAAACTAGTAAAAAAAATTACATTATTGTTAAAGTAGTAAAAATAATTACTGAAGATTTTAAAATAAACATGTGTCCTCCAGTAGGTTGATAAACATCTCAAAATAGCTTCACAGAAATAATAATATGGTAAATAACTTCAATGTACTCTTAAAATAGAATTCTGAAAACTCCTCTATTGTGTCAATGGTTTAAGATTTTTCCTGTTTTGTATTTCCATCAATAATTCAAGTTTTGTACTAAATCTATTTTTTCTTTACCTTTATATTTTCAATTATGGCACTCATTCCCCTACTAATGACTATATCTCATCCTTACTACCATTTTCCTCTCCAATTTATTAATCTTGATTGATATCACCATTTTTTTTATGTTTGTAGCTCTTCATTTTCCATACCTATTGTCATGAAGAAATATGTAAGAATGAAAATGTTTTCACTAGATCTTAACATTTTACAATTTCATATTTAACTATAATACTGGATACTATTTTAAATTAAGAGAAATATAATGATGATATTTCTTTATGTTCTGTGCTTTGGGAGTAATGTTGTACTTGATATATATTTAGAGGATTACCAAATTTTTGATATTTTTGTAGAAAATTTGAATTCTTTCAATGTATATTAATTGTTAAAATAGGTGAAAGTTCCTATTACATAAATTATAAAAGAAATTATCTTGTGACATACAAAACTAGTTATCTGATTTCAATATTTGTTATACAGCATCTCATAATTTAATTCACTGTTTCGTTCTTGAATATGAGGGCTAAGAATGAAATATTTTTTAAACATTGATATAACTTTTTTTTTTTAAAGATTTATTTATTTATGCATACAGAACTGGGGTACAGGCCAGAGGCGCATTGGTGGTGAGAGGCTTCTCCAGAGACAGAGTGAGGAGCAGAACAGGCAGATCGACTAAGTACACTGATGAAGGGAGCAGCGGGAGGGCCAGGGGAGGTCTGCCACGTCATGTGGCTCTCCTCCGAGGCAGGTGGGAATCCAACTCATGCAAAAGTGGCTTTTTTAGCTTCTCAGCGCTGTGCTTTAACCCGCTGCGCCACCAGGGAGGGCCCTATTGATATAACATTTTTAATTCTCTGGAAATAAAGGCCTGTGAGTTTGAGTATCACAAAACAAGAAAAGGTCTTTCATCATGTTACCTAACTTTGCAGTATTAACTATAGTATTAATTATAACAATCAGAAGTTCCTTTAGAATATTTATTTCTAACAAGCATACTTTAAAGATAAATTTTTAGCAAAAAATAGACTGAAAACTAAATTTCCTAATATAAATATGATGTTGTGGCAGGTGTAGGCTGTATACCTTTAAAATGTAATTTGTAGAACAGTTCTCCAGAATTTGCTCTGTCAGTTTAAAATAATGTTATTTTGCTTAATTTGAACAATGAACAGAAACTACTACTTGCTTACAATAATTTAAAGATGAAATGAAAGATAGACACCAACAACAAATTTTTATCATGGTAAATAATCTCTCGTGTGTATATTCAGTGTGGGAAAACATGATATGGTATAAAAAAAAATGTGGGTTGTGGCCCTTCCTGGTGGCGCAGCTGATTAAAGCACTGCACTGAGAAGCTAAAGCCACATCCGCATGAGTTCGATTCCCGCCTGCCCCGGAGGTGACCACATGGTGTGGCAGACCTCTCCTGACCCTCCTGCTGCTCCCCTCAGCAGTGTACTTCGTCGATCTGTCTGTTCTGCTCCTCACTCTGTCTCTGGTGAGGCCTCTCACCGCCCCTGAGCCTCTGGCTTGTACCCTAGTTCTGTATGTACAAATAAATAAATCTTAAAAAAATGTGGGTTGTAAGAAACAATAATTAAATCTGAGACTAAAGAGTGACAATAAGGGGAGAGGAACATTATATTACTTGAAGACTTTACAAATAAATGTCCAATATAACCTTGATGATTGTGTTATAGATTAAATAGGGGTTAGAAATGTAGATATTACTTTGGATTCCATTTTATTTGGTTGATAATTAACTTGAAACCCTAGGGAAATATCTCTGTAAGATGATATTTTAGAGGCAATATAAACAGGACGGAGACTGTTTTCAATAGATATTTATAAATAATGGTGGCTAATGAGATTTCCCACCAACACTCTCTTTCCTTCACTATCACTGCCTGCGGTTTACTGGTATAGCTTCCCAGTTTGCCTGGCTTAATCTTTAGCAATCCAGCATATCAAGCATATTTTGCACTAAGTAAATTTTTGGTAAAAGATTTACTTAGTGCAAAATAATTTACATAACACCACATACCCACCCAATAGCTGAAAATACTTCCTTGATTGCTGCTTAATTTTAAAAAATGAAGAATGCTATTGTGACTATACTCTGATTGCGCTTATTCACATCCAGGCAGATTCTTGTTCCTACTGCAGTGAAATTTCTCCTGGGTTCTGGTTTCCCTAAACTTTAATAAACAGGTATTTCTAACAATCATGACTTTACTCATTGTGGTAGAAATGCCACTTAAATCTCCAAATAATGCATTGTAGTGAAGTTTAAAGTAGGCAGGAGAGGTTCTTCTTCTTCTTTTTTTTTTTTTTAAATCTCTACTGCTTAATGTCATTCAACTTAAAACATATTATTGTAATGTGGAAAAATCAGTTTCTTAAAAAAGGTTATGTTTCTAGACAATTTGGAATAAGAAAAACTTTTCAAAAAAGAGGTGAAAATATTTTACTTCTGCAGGGTCTTTTCAGATTTAATGCTTAGTCTGTGAGAGATAAGTTGCAATTTACACATTCTATTTTTCTTTGAATTAAGATGTACAAGTTCCCCTGTAGGGCGTAGTGATAGTGAACCCAGCTCAGGCTTAATGTTAAGCTAATATAACATGACAGGGAGAGGTAAGTTAACTCGGAAAATCAAGAAAGAAAAAATTATATGTTTCTTGAATTGCATGTGATGGAAACAAGATAGGACAAAAAGATGAAGTCAATATGGACTTTCCTGTGATGAAGGAAATTTAAGAACATAAATATGTAATTAATTTTCTTGTAGGTTCTTTATTGACTGTGCACTGCATTGACGGTAAGTTAGCAAACTTTTTTTTTTTCACTGTAAAATAAATACTTATAAAGAGAGCCTCTGTGAAAATTGAATGTAAAAATACCTGGGACTCACTGATTAAGTAATATAATTCACAATAACTGAAGGGGCGATAACTGAATTTTAGTGAGAAGATCATATATATGTACCTAGCAAAGTGCAAGTTGAGATATACATTTGAAAAACTAAATTAATAAATAAAATTTGTCTTTTCTGGAACTTTCAGGTTCTAATCCTCTAACAAAGATAATTCTCCAAGATGATAAGGAGAAACCAGACCTTCAACTTTGAATTCATCTTATTAGGGATCTTCAATCATAGTTCCACTCACATATTCCTTTTCTCTCTGGTCTTGTGCATCTTCTTAGTGGCCTTCATGGGAAACACTATCATGGTTCTCCTCATCTACTTGGAGACCCAGCTCCATACTCCCATGTACTTCCTCCTTAGCCAGCTCTCTCTCATGGACCTCATGCTTATCTGTACCACTATCCCAAACATGGCTTTCAACTATTTGTCTGACAGGAAGTCCATCTCTCTAGCAGGTTGTGGAACCCAAATATTCTTTTATGTGTCATTGCTTGGAGCTGAATGCTTTCTGTTGGCTGTCATGGCTTATGACCGCTATGTAGCTATATGCCATCCTCTTCGATATACCATCCTAATGAATCAGAAACTCTGTATCATCATGACCGTAACATCCTGGATGTTGGGCTCTCTTGATGGCATCATTGTCCTTGCAGCAGCCTTGTCATTTTCTTACTGCAGTTCTCGGGAAATTGATCACTTTTTCTGTGATGTTGCTGCCCTTTTACCACTTTCCTGCACAGACACTTCTGCATTTGAAAAACTACTTTTCATCTGTTGTGTGGTAATGCTGATTTTACCAGTTTCAGTGATCATTGGTTCCTATTCTAGAGTCCTTCGAGCTGTCATTCGTATGGGCTCTGGTGAAAGTCGCCGCAAAGCCTTTACCACCTGCTCTTCACACCTGTCTGTAGTTGGACTTTACTATGGTGCTGCAATGTTCATGTACATGAGACCAGCTTCAAGCCATACACCAGAACAGGACAAGATGGTATCAGCCTTCTATACCATACTCACACCTATGCTGAACCCTCTTATCTACAGCCTCCGAAACAAAGAGGTATCCATGGGATTTCAGAAATTACTGAAGAAAGCAAAGTTAATATAACTCCATTGGACATCTTTGAGTAGCCACTTTGATCAATGTTTCTTCAAAGAAACTGGTATTCTTCTTCAAAGAAACCGAGATTCATCATTCTACTCCTAATTCATCATTTCTTCCCCAATTACTTTAAATTTAAACAGTTTTACTTACCATAATTTTAAGTAAAAATAACAGATAAAGTAGACTCTATTTGTACATTAGCTTGGTCTAATTTTGGTTATATCACTGGTTTTGGGCCATTTTTACTTCACTTTAGATATTACCTTTAAACCAAACTTAATTTTAATCTTTCACTTTGTCCAAGAGAACAGGGTTAAAGTTGATACACTGCTTTTGGTGAATTTCTTTTTTGTTTAAGTGTTACTTGCTTGTTAGTAATTGCTTTCAGTTTTATCTGTCCTTGCACCTGTGTGTTGACTACTTTATTCCTGACTCATCTTAGTTTGTGAGCATTTAGAACTGAGGGGTTAGTGTCAGCTCATTCTTCAATTAAGCATTTTACTTATATGAAATAATATTTATAAACTATATATATATATACTTTTATGCTCCTATTAAAAGAGGATATATTAAAGATACGAGTTAAATTATCTATTTGGTTGGGTTGCAAAACTTTCATCTTTTTCATTGATTAATATTATTTCTCTTTATATTCAAAACCATAATTTATTTAAATATAGAACTACCATCTTCTTGAATTAAACATTTTTTAATACAACACAGAAAAATTATTTCTTATAAATTTCTTGAAGAGAATTTATGATATCTAAATGCCTGCAGTGGTTGTTTCAAAGTTATTCAGAGTGTCCATATTTTATACGCAAACTATTATTAATATATGGCAATGTGTATGGCTAATTGGTAGGCTGGTGGGGTCTTAAAAGGCCTCTGGCTGTTCTGATACCTCCCTTGACATGGATCTAGGACCTCCTTGGACACTGGTATGATCTCTCAGTAGATACAAGTCATCTGCTTGTCTGGTTGAGGATGAAAGGAATCCTAGAAATTCATGAGTGCTCAAGCTACTCTGGCATCCACCAGCCCTTCTGTAAGGACATTCTCACCAGGATTTTTCTCTTCCTTTTGGATTTTTCTCTTGGACTTGGTATATAACATTAGTGTATATATGTTAATGATCCTTGCATCTCTGGAGTAAAATCCAGTTAGTTTTATTATTCTATTAATATATTTGAATTAGGTTTGCTAAGATTTTGTTGAGAATTTTTGCAACTGTGGTCATCATGGATGTTGGTCTATATATTCTTTTCTCTGATACCCATGTCTGCTTTGGTATCAGAGACATGTTGACCTCATAAAATATATTTGGGAACATTACCTCTAGCTCAATTTTTTGAAGACCCAATTAGTAAATTAGAAGCTTTCCCAACAAACAATTCATCATTATATCCTACTGGAAATTTTGAATTAGTTAAAATTTTGTATTTGTTTCTTTACCTAAACAGAGCCTGGATGGGTAAATAGATTTATCTATTCAAGCAACACAGTAGAATAACATTTCAAGATGGAAAAAGCTAAAGCTTAATTTAAAAATACAAACCAAAACTCTTTAGAGAAATGTAGGAAAGATATAAAATTACCTTCTTGGGTGAGCAACTTATATTAAATTCATAATTCTTTAAAGTGAAAATTACAATGCCAATGAACTATCAATCTTGTTTTCCACCAATTTTACTAAATATCTTGTTTTCCACCAATTTTAAATGTCAAGGGTAATAAAATGGTCTCTCAGCACTTGCTATTCATTAGATATCTATAGGGGAGAATGATATGTAGCAACATGTGTAGAAGTACTAAAACTTCATTCTACATGCATTTGGAGAACCATGATTCTCCAAATATAGAAATTCACCTGTGCATCTCAGACGCCATCTGAAGTCACTTACCTAAAACAGAAGTAGGAAAAATGGATGTAAACCAGTTTTCACAAGACAATAGTTTGAATTCTAAGGAGAAATATGAACAATAAAACATGTAATATCCCCCCACAAATGAAGCACAAGAATGAAAAATAAAAATGGGTTTCAAATGCACTGACAAAATTAACCCATACCAATGCCAGAAGGTTTGACTTAATAGTGCACTCAGGAGAGGAATCCAATGAGGTTAGATGGAGAATAGTAGCATTCAACCTTGCCAGTTTACTCCACAGTCAATTCTTCCTTATTCTTTTCTTCTATGTTGATAAGGAGGTACTAACTATGATATGTGATCAAACAAGCAAAATGTTGGAAATAATTTCTAAACTACCCAACATCTGATTCCAGATATTTACTTAAACTCCTTCCAGAGACTGTTCACCACAAGAACTTTGATTCCTTAAAGTCACTTGGATGAGGTATAGAAATAGAAATTCATAATATAGCAAAGATGAGATCAGCTGGGTGCCTAAGACCTCCCACAAGGCATCACCAGTCCCTTCCTAGACCAGTGTGCCCCTGTGTGCACACTGGAGAAGGTGGCAGAATAGCCATATGCCTCACTATCTTCCGTGAGACTCTGCCAACAGAGTGACCAAAGGCCTCAAGACCTTCTACAGGACTCTACTAGCAGTTACCCATATCAGTAAGACCCCTTGAACTCAGCGATAGGAGAGGCCTGACCTAGAGGAAGACTCGCTTATCTTAGTTATGCCCCAAACAAATTATGACAGAAGAAAAAAAAAATCCAACAAATGGCAATGCAATCCCCCACGCAAGTCTTTTATCACAGAGAGAACGATTCTCTAGAACCACATGTCCAAGACATGGGAGATACATTTTTCTTATCATATAGGTTTCAAATTTCAGGGATAAAAAAGTTTGAAGAAAAGGAACAAATTTTAGAAAAGCAATGTCCTTAGCAATAAAAATCAATGAACTGAAGACAGAAAATTGTTTCAATAAGATAAAGATAGGGTTTTCAGAATACAAAAAGAGAAATATAGGAGATGGAAACTTGAGGAGAAAGGCATGGAAATAGAAAATATTAACTGGAAGAATGAGTCAGTGTACTTTAATATGCAAATGTACAAAGAATCCTGGAGAGAAACAAAGTTAAAAAAAATATGAAGAGGCCTCCCTGGTGGCACAGCGGGTTAAAGCACTGCTCTAAGAAGCTTAAACCAGTTCTGCATGAGTTCGATCCCCACCTGTCCCGGAGGTGACCACATGGCGTGGCAGACCTCTCCTGACCCCCTCAGCAGTATACTTCGTCGATCTGCTTGTTCTGCTTCCCACTCTGTCTCTGGTGAAGCCTCTCACCCTCCGCATCTCTGGCCTGTACCCCAGTTCTGTATGAATAAATAAATAAATCTTTTTAAAAAATATGAAGAAATGCTTTTGAGTAATATCCACCTTGATCAGGAAAAGAAATATAATCATAACAATAGGAATTCTAGAAGAGAAAGAGAGAAAAGAACAAGTGTCTTTAAGAAATAATACCTGAAACTTTCTTGAACAAATACAATAAACTAAATTAACACTGACATAAGCACCCATAAGTGAGATATACACAAAGATATATATCTGTGAAATGTCAAAGAATTGAAGATAAAGAAGAATATTATAACTGGAAAGGGAGGAGAAGCAGACGACTTATAAAAGTACCCTAATCCAACTAACATCAGACTTCTCTGAAGAAATACTATAAGCAAAGAAAGAATGGAATAATATATTCTAGATTGTAATGATAAAGCTGACATTCAAGAATACCCTGTCTTGAAAGATTAACCTTCAGAGGTGAGGGAGAAAGACATTTTCAGACATAAAGCTCAAGATATTTTCAAACACTAAATCGCTCTTCCCAGAAATAGTCAAAGGGTGTTTCACATATAAGTAAAATAAGGAATATTTAACAAATAACAAAGATATAAATAAGGAAATAAACTGAAACACAAAAATTGAAATGGCATCACATAGCAATAAATAATCTAAATGTAGATGGACAGAACTCACCAAATAAGACAATGGATAACTAGTTGAATTAGAAACAAATCCAGCATTCTGCTATCTCCAAGCGATGCCTAAATTCCAACAACATAAGCTCGAAGTAAAGGGCTTTCAACAGAGAAAACAGAAACACAGATTCCTCTGCTAATCATCCCCTATCCAGACAGAAATGCATGCACCTGTGTGACAGAAGGAAGATGGAGCAGAATGTAAAGAAATGGAAGACAAAAAGAAATTGAAACAGCCAATGGGACTTCCAACCTTAGCAAAGACTCAGAAGAACAAAGGACAGAGATGATACAGATATACAAGTCTGTGGCCCAGGTAGATCCCAAACTAGCAGAACTGAGATTCTCCATATAAGTTGTGTCTCCAGCGAAGAGGGACATGAGAAAGTACTTCAATTTCAAGTCTTCCCATAGACAAAAGGTTAGTCTCGAGACCAGAAAATTATCATCAGGTGACAAAAAATAAAACAAGTCTCAGTTTTAGAACTTCAAATAGAAATGATAACAGTGGGCCCTTGACATGACCCAGCTCATGACCCAGGTCTCCCCAGCCTGTCCATGGCATTAATTACCCTTCTCCAAATCTTGGCCTCCTTACTGACAAAACAATGAAACAACATTTATGTACAAGAAATTATAAGCCCAAAAGGATGAGTTGCCCTGAATCTTGTTTGATCAAGTGAACTGAACGATGGACTGACAAATATGTCCAGATAATTTGGTCCATCACACTGACCATGCTAGCCAAAATTTTTTATATCTTAATTAATGATTATTGCACAGTTTACTGGAGGAAGAAGGCCAAGAGCCCACATGTACAACTGTTGAATCAGTAATATCACAGAACCTGGATGAGGCTTCTCATTACTTTCAGTTGTCTATATTTTACTATTTGTTTCTTTTTAATTTTTAATTGAGATAATATTTGCCTATGACTATCATATATTGCCACCATGACATACTTATTGCCAGATCATATATATTCTACAAACATAGTTTATTATACTTCCTTCCTTCCTTCTTCTTTCCCCTCCCTATTTCCTCCTCT